GCCGTGAACACTGAGGGAGGAGGGCGCTGTGAACAGCGTGGATGGCCGTCCCAGTTGTCTCGTCTCCCTCATGGCCTCCCCCGACCCTGGGAGGGAGTTCAGGAAAGAACAGTGTCCAGCCTGTGCTGTCCTGCAGCCCCCAGACCTTCTGAAACCCTCCCAGGATCCTGGAACCTCGGCGAGGGGCTGGGAGGTGGGGTGGCCAGGAGCAGGGCTGCTGGACTTGCTCTGATTCTGAGGTCACAGGAGGGAGTCAGCGATGCTGACCGTCTCCTGAAAATCCCCAACTGTCCATCTTCAGTTCCGTGATGGTCAGAGAAAACAATAAAAAGTTCCCTTCCACCGCTGTCAGCGTGTCCATTTCCTGCTCTGTTATCAAACGACTAGAGGCCCAGCCCGCAAAATCGCATGGGACCCAGACCCCCGCCACGCCACGAGACCCATCAATGCACCTCCTGGTGACTGGTCGTTTGGTCGCTACAGTCACTGGCTTTTTATAATATAGATCCTTTATGATGGCGGCGTGTGTTACTCAGTCTTAGGGGAGCCGTGTGATGGTCACTGAGACGACCGTGACGCGTTAGTCTATAGAGGGAGTCAAACTCTTTTGGCAACTGCACGGCTCACTCTTGAACCGCCATGGAGCCGTTCTGCACACCCACAGCCATCACCTGCTACATGGTACCCAGGGCAAGAGTTAGTGCGGCCCTGTGACCACTGCCGCCCGCAGAGTACACTAACGATACCCGAGGAATTCGGTAACTTACTGTGCGCTGAGATAGACGGACACAACCTGACGAATCTGTTCCTTTTTTTTTTTGAATAATCTTAGTAACATACGATTTCCTCATTTCCCTTCCTGCTTTGACACCAGCACAGAACACATTATTTCTCAAAACTGGACTGCAGAAGAAAACTGTCTTAAGTCAGGTGTTAATAACAGCATCACCCCGGTCGTGTTCAGGCTGTTGTCTGAAACGGACAGCAGCCCTTGAATCAACTGTGTACACATTTTTTTAACTGATGTTCCTGGGATTACACATTCTGGTTAAACACTTAAAGCAAAAATTATTTGTTACTGTTGGTGGATCCAGCTTAAAAACATATAGCAATTAAAAACATATAGCCATTAAATGAAATAGCAAAAACGGAAATCAACCACAGCATTTCCCATTAAGTGATTTGCTGATAAAAAAGTCTCTGAAAAATAATTCCGGATGCCGGGAATGTGCTCTTCCATGAAGACAGGGGGAAAAAAAAAGGCCATAAAGGAGGTGGGCCGGGCTCCATATCTCGGTCAGAATTGATCAAACGGGCCGTTCTATTGTTAATGCAGCTTTGGCAGAAAGAACAATGAGACGTGGCTTGGACCTTGCGTCCTCGGGGCTGGATTCGGGCATCTGTGTAAGGAAAGGCGAGGCCCTCAGTCTGTCCGGGGAAGATGCTCTATCGTTCGCTAACAGCGCTGTTACAGCAGCGCACACACAAGGAAACACAACACGGCCCCCACGTCCGGATACTCGGACGGGAGGCAGGACCGACGTGAATGGACACGTGGGCCTGGTTTGCAATAACTGCCGTCGGGTTTCCCCAATGACCTGCGTGGTCGGCACCGGCCCGGCGTGTGGCAGACCCTCCTCACCGCCCGTCCCTCCTCCGCTGAGATCCTTTCTTTGATTGTCTCAGAGCTGGTGCCAGTGGGAGCTCATTCATTCTAAAGACACGGTTCAGAAGCCCGTTCTGGAATGGCGAAGCCTAAAGGAGGGGCAACACAGCACCCAGATGAGCAGCCAGAGGCCCAAGCACACCTCATACACATGCAGAGGCTGAGACACAGCTGTTTGCCCTGTGAATGTGAAGACAGCTCACACACCAACACAGGCAGCTCCACACACGGAAAGCCCCACGCATTCCACGTCCCGGGTAGAACACCTGCCACGACCCGGGGGCACCACCCCCAGACCAGCTGGAACGTGGCTCTCCCCTGGCCATCTCTACACCCAGACACGGAGCCTCTCCTGCGCCTAAACGCTTGTGTTTTCTGGGGGCGGCAGCAGAGAGCTGTGCACTGCCGTTTCCATGAGATAATGTATTCTACTGCCCAGGACACTCCCTGGCTGTGCTTCTGTGTGTGCTCAGCCGTGAGAGCTGTGGTTTCGCGTTGGGTGTGAACTCTGTAAATGATACATCTTTAGCAGGTGAGAGCTTTCTGTTTAGACTAACTCCTCCTCTCTCTCGTTTTGTGAACGTGGTGAACACTCACCTATAGGCCCTAAGAGGACCACTGCAACTGCGGCAAGACGGTCTTGTGTCAGTGACGACCACACGGGAAACTCCTGTGCAGGGTCAAGGCCTGGGAGCCAATGACACCTTCAAAAATGGCCCGCAGAGCAGGCCTGTGTCCTGGACTGCATTTCCCTGCTTTCGCCTAAACTGAGCCCCTCGGCACCACCACTTCCTGGAGGTCTCCTGCCCAGCCTCTCCGACGGGAACACTCCTTCTGTCATCTCCCCCGACCCCGCCTTGGGCAATATAGCCTGCTATCACTTTGAAAATGGTGCACAGCAGGACATTTTATAACTTCCGATTTATCCCTTTCCCATTGCAATCCTAAATTTCTAATGCAATTCAGTGGAAAGGTTTGTTCCTGACAAAATCAAGCTGCTGGTCACATTCATTTTGTTAAAGGGGAGTTTGTCAAAAAAGAAAAGCAGCCCAGCTGGTGTGACTCCACGCTGACCACTGACCCATGAACCAGAAGGTTATGCTCAGTTCCCGGTCAGGGCACATGCCCAGGTTGCAGGCTCGACCCCCAGGAGGGGGTATTACAGAAGGCTGCCAATCAATTATTCTCTCTCATCATTGATGTTTTGTAACTCTCTCTCCCTCCGTCTTCCTCTCTCTGAAAATACATAAAAAACATATTTAAAAAAAAGAAAAGAAAAAGAAAAGCAATTTGAGCTGCCGTAGGACTAGGCTTTCCATGTAAGACCCACTGGAGAAGCTGTGCGGAAAAAATTTGTATACGGGATCATTTTTTCTACTGAATTTTACTATAATTGTAGAGGTGTGTTCCTACAGAAAATAGTTCTGCTTCAGCATCTCATGATAAAAACCACACTAAAGAAACTCAGTGTTCATTTCAAGGATGATTTTGCATTTGTCAACATGCCACTTCTGTACACCAAATTCCCCCTTACGGTTTGTGCAGTGAACAAGGAACGAAAATGATTTTACACGTGCATTCCCCGCACAATACATGTCAGGCCACTGTTCCACTCCCTGGGCAGGATGCCCAGCTAGATGGGCATACTTTTCCATATGCTTTCAGAGCGACCAGCAGTTCCCGATTTTCATTTAGTGGTTGGGTTCTTTTCAGCAGATTAGACTCTATAGTAACTGGTTATAAAAAGTTAAGCTCTTCTATTTGATAAGATTAATATGTGTGGGCAGAGGACCTGAATAGACTCTTCTCCAAAGAGGACATACAGATGGCCCACAGGTATATGAAAAGATGCTCAACATCACTAATCATCAGGCAAACGTAAGTTAAAACCACACCTGTCAGAATGGTGTCATTAATAAATCAACAATCAACAACTGCTGGTGAAAACGTGGAGAAAAGGAAACCCTCGTGCACTATTGGTGGGAACGTACATTGGAAAACAATATGGAAGCATGTCAAACTCACAGCTGGTGGGCCGCATGCATGCAGCCTGCTGGCCACGAGTTTGACATGCTTGGTATAGAGATTCCTAAAAAATTAAATATAGAACTACTATATGACCCAGCAATAACCCTTCTGAGTATTTATTAAAAACAAATCCAAAACACTAATTTGAAAAGATATAAGCACCCCTAGGTTAATTGCAGCATTATTAAAAACTAGAAGCCCAGTGCTCGAAATCGCAAGGCCCCGCCCACCCGCACGCACCTTGCCCACCCGCCCGCCACCCGCGCTGGTCTATGATTGTTATGGCGTTAGGGCCACCTGGTTTTTATAATATAGAAAGCCAAGATATGGAAGCAACCTAAGTGTACATCAACAGACGAATGAATAAAGAAGATGTGGTACATATATACAGTGGGCATACATACACATCACTCAGCCATAAAAAGAATGACATCTTGCCATTTGTGACAACATGGATGGCCCTGGAGGGTATTATGCTAAGTGATATAAGTCAGACAGAGAAAGACACATACTACATGATTTCACTTATATGTGGAATCTAAAAGACAAAACAAAACAGAAACAAACCTACAGATACAGAAAGCAAACTGATGGTTGCCAGATGGGAGGGGGGTTGGAGGGCCGAGTGAAAAAGGTGGAGGGATTAAGAAGTACGGATTGGCAGTTATAAAAATAAATATGGGGATGCACAGTACAGCATAGGGAATATAGTAATACTGTAATAACCATGTGGGCTGTCAGATGGGTACCAGGCTTAGAGTGATCACTTTGTAAACTATACATGTCGAATCACTATGCTGTACACCTGAAGCTAATATAGTAGTGCATGTCAACTGTGATTGAAAAAGAAAAGGAAAAAAGAGAAAGAATACTACTTATAGTACTGATGTACCAATTGGCTAAGTTCATTGCAAATGTTTTTAAAGTTCCTCTTCAGTGACAGGTCTCAAAACAGCCTTACCACATGGGCAGAGGTAAATCCTCAGGGTTAGGCCTAAAACCAAGGCCATTGCATGCGCCCGAAAGTCTGTTGCTAACATATTAGGGCCGCATGCAGGACAACGTGAGACCTCAGGCACACGTGGCCTTCCCTCTCTGCTAACGGAACTTGGGCTTCGGGGCGTCTCACTATATCACGGGTCCCTTCCAAGACCCCGAGTCCCTTTTGTTGTCTTTTTCAGAAAGGAGGAGCCCAAATTCTAGAGGCTCCAGGCCCCCCCCGAACCTGGATCCCTTTAAGATTGTGTTATTATTTCACATCAGATCACAATATTGTATCATCAAAGTATCATTCTGATGTACTTACTCAAAGAACGTTGTCCATCCGGTTTCATCGCTTTTGGTGGCCAACAGGCCGCTGTTGCCGTGGTAAGTGAACAAAACCAACTCCAGCCCTTGCGCGGTCATGCTCTTCAGACACCCGTTGGTGCCTATGGTCAGCCATATCACCTGGTTGTCCGGAGACACCACTCGGACCGGCATCCGGTTGGGGTCCCGCCTAATGCGGAGGGTGTTGCCGTTGCTGTCGGTCACGGCGGTGATGTCGTTGTCGTTGCTGTAGCTGAAGTTGTACAGGTAGTCCCCCGTGACCAGGCTCACGGTGTACTGGTGAGTGCCGTTGATGTCGAAGATGTAGAGTTCCTGATCGGTCGGAGAGGCCACTTCATAGAAGTTCATGGAGTTGAGGAAAGGCTTGTTCTTGGACACCGCCCGGATGCGAATGTTCCCCAGATCCGCGATGTACAGGGTGCCATCCGGAGAAGCGGCGAGGGACGACGGGGCGCTGAGTTTGGCATCTTTGGCATAGCCGTCGCCAGTCTGATAGCAGTCGCAGTTGGCATCGTTTTTGCAGTCACACTCCGACGGTATCCCGGCCACCAAGGAGATCTCCCCGTCGGTCGTGACCTGCCGTATGCGGTTGATTTTCTTTTCGTCGGTTTCCGTGATGTATAGGACCCCACTGTAGGACACAGCGATGGCCGTGGCGGATTCCAGCGTCGTCTGGACCGCGTGCTTGCCCACGGAGTACTCCACCCCCGGGACCTGGCAGTGCATGGGCCGCCCGGCGGCGATGCGCACCTGGCGGTTCTCGGTGATCTGCAGGACCACGTTGTTGTCCAGCACGTAGATGGAGTTGTCCATGGGGTTAATGGCGAGGTCAGTGGGCCACTCCAGACGCACCTTCGGACAGAAAACAGAAACGGTCCGGTCAGTCAGCGGCTGCGATGCAGTTAACTCGCCAGAAGAGTAAATGAGAGCGTTTGGGAAAATTACCCTTAATTTGAGAAGCTGTTTTAAAGTTGTCTTTTGAATGGCTACAGTAAAATAAACTTGAAAAGTCTGCACGAACACAAATGTAGGGAACAGCATTTTATTTAAAAAATGTAGCTTATTGGAAGATTTGCAAGTTACAGCCAAATGGGCAATGAGCCTCTAAATAGAGAGTTAATAGATACCAATGAGGTATGAACGCAGATGTTTCCGTTAGCAGTAATAACCAGCAAATGGCAGGCTTTCTACCTCGTAAATACATTCAGGTTCTATTGTATTTCCAGTAAGGCCCATAGTAAAGTTCCCAACTCTAAATGTAAGTCCCTCGGGACCAATCGTAGGGGGTTCTCTCTACTTCGTAAGGAGATCGTGTAATAACAGGATTCGAGGTTTAAGTGGTTTTGTTCTTTTTGGAATCTCTGCATGCTGCTACTTAACTGGTATTTTATTACAACTGCTTAGCATTTCTTAGTGGTAATTACTCTGTAAACCGTTGAATTCATCAAATGCAGAACTATAGAAGAAAGTACCTTTTGCCCGGCCAACGTGGCTCAGTGGTTGAATGTCGACCTATGAACCAGGAGGTCACAGTTTGATTCCTGGTCAGGGCACATGCCCGGGTTGTGGGCTCCATCCCCAGTGTGGGGTGTGCAGGAGGCAGCCAATCAATGATTCTCTCTCATCACTGATGTTTCTATCTCTCTCTCCCTCTGAAATCAATAAAAATATATTAAAAAAGAAAATAATTTTTTATTAGCTCCTAAGATACACTTAAAGGGGGCAGCTTTATCATAACACCGCCACCCATGACGCGGGCAGTTTGACACGGTGCCATCACAGCCTACCGACTCAGCAATGAGGCCCCTGAGAAGAGAAGCTGTTCAGCGGACTCCAAACTACCTGGCTGATGTGCATGCTTGTGTCGCAGGTCAAAGGTCTGGCTGACGTCAGGTCATTGGAACCCAGGAGGGTCGAGATGATTCCGTTCTGATCAACTTTTCTGATCATGGTCCCATCAACGAAGTAGATCAATCCATTCTTATCAATTGCCATGCCTTGGTCCAAGAGAAGCAAGGGTTAGTAAGTTTTCAAAAACGATTCAACGTCTGATTCAACGTGTAGGCCTATCACTAAACTCAACAGCTCACCCCAGTGATAACGTGGGCGGTAGGTAGCAGGTAGGACAGTAGATTGCAAGCACATTAGGAAAAACCCAACATAGGCGTGTCCCTAATACAAACACATGTGAACGGTAATGAAGAAATAACCCGCATTTGCGAGAATTCCCACTTGGTGTGTGAAACATATACGTAGCGCTTGGGCATTAAACATAAGACTATAACTTGGGTGTTAAACATCAAACGATAATGTCTGCATAATGTTGTCTATAAATTATAGAAATAGGTCAAATTCAGTCACACGGAGCTTACAGTAACTAGCATAGTCCAACGAACATAGATGCAAGCCAAGGTGAGTATTCTGTTGACCTTGCTACAACGAAATTGGCTATTATGAATAATTCAGGACAGCAAACACTTTTCCCAGTCACTGTTCACAAAACAGTTGCTAGCTATAATGAAAAAAAAATAGAGCCCTCAACCCAAAACACCATAATGAATGGCATAATACATGAGCCAGGAGTCAGTCCCAACGGGTTTCAAAGCTAGAAACCGTCCTCACATAGAATTCAAGCTCTTGTTCTCCCCAGAAATTCCTCCCAGCAAGCATTTTTTCCCAGGGCATAGAAACAAAAGTCTAGCAGCTCCAAATGGGGTGCGGGCTAATAGGGCTGCTTAGCGGTGGTTTTCAAAGAGGCCTGGGACTCATTCGTGGCAAAGAAATTCCAGGACAATGAAAGAATTCGGGCACTTCCTTGACACTTAATGGGATGTGACTGAATAACAGTAGCTGCTTTATTCTTTGCAACGTTGGAAAAAATGGTATGACAATAAAAAAAATGCCAAGAACCTAATATTTACTATACAATCAGCTTAGGATTCTAGCAGGCTCACGTTCAAGTTCCACGGCTTTTACAAACACTAGGTGTGCCACAGCGTCCCAGACTGAGCTGAGGGTAAAATGTGAGACTCAGCTTTAAGCCCCATCAGCACTAAGCAGATTGTCTACCTTTTTTTTCTTTCTTTTTTAAATAGAAGGAAATCCCCAAGTTGGTAAATGCCGGTACCTTTGGGACTCATGAGTGTCGCCTCCACAGCCTTGCCCCCGTCCCCACATCTGGCTTCATCGAAGGGCAGGCATTGCTCCCCAGTCCCCGCGACCACGTCAGCATTTTTCGTCAAGTCCTTCGCCCCCGTCAGAGACTTGGGGCGATAAATCCTGCGGGTGTTAGTGTCCGAAACGTACAAGTCTCCGGTGACAGGGTCGGTGGCCAGGTAGTATCTATGAGCTGGGTTGCTGCTGTAAGAAAGGATCATACGTGAGCCCCACCATGTATGGGGAGTTACTCCTAATACGCAGAGAAAGTAAGAGCAAGACAGCCCACCATGGGCAACACTGCAACCTGCAGTCAGTACCAAAGACCTGAAGATGAGCGGCATACTCACAATGACCTACAGGAGAGACTGGGTAGCAGCCCAGCCGGCATGGCTCAGTGGTTGAGCATCGACCTATGAACCAGGAGGTCATGGTTTGATTCCTGGTCAAGGGCACAGGCCCAGGTTGCAGGCTTGACCCCCTAGTGGGGGGATTGCAGGAGGTAGCCGATGAATGATTCTCTCTAATCATGGATGTTTCTAGCTCTCTCTCCCTCTCCCTATTTTTAAAAAAAGAACTGGTAGCAATCTCTGACATGACTGTTCCTTCCTGGCCATCTTAAAAATAATTACCTTCAGGAGACGATCTGCTTCTTGCCTAAAAGACGGAAGCAAGTTCTCTAAATCTCTGTGGTTTGGTGCAAAGCCATGGGAAAATTGCCCTTGAGTGACAGGCATAAAGCTTGCTCCAGGAAGGTGCTGCTCTCAGACTCTCCTGTGAAGTCCATACACCTTCAATTTCACCTGCACCTCATCACAGGGGACTCTCCTGCTTTCTCCCTACAAAACCCAACCAAACCGAGCAGCCGCCCCTGAAAAACCGTAGCATCATGCCTGTCCTGGTTGCGCTATTGTAATCTGGCAAAGTTGGTTTTCAGAACTATTAACTAGTGCAAATATATACTATTTTATGTCCTACTAGAGGCCTGATGCACGAAATTCGTGCAAGGGGCTTGGCCCCTGCCTCTGCAGCGGCTGCCTCTGCCTCTGCCTCGGCCCTTGCAGCCCTGGCTTTGTCCAGAAGGACGTCCGAAAGGTCGTTCGGCTGTCCAATCTAATTAGCATATTACGCTTTTATTATTATAGATTACCTGTGAAAAATGGAAAGACCAACATCATCAACAAATGGACTAATTCTGGCAGCTCCCTACAAACACTCAGCCCCACATGCTTAGAATTAATGTAATTTTGCACTGTGTGCAAATACGGCCTCTGGGGAAAAAATTCTCAAAAGCGTTTCAGTGATTGGGAGTCGGAACAAAGATGTCAACAGGTAGGAATCCACTGGGTTCCATGTGTCTCCTGCTGACAAACTTGGTCTTACGCTTCTCATTCTCTCTCTCTCATTCTCTCTCTCTCTCTCTCTCTCTCTCTCTCTCTCTCTCTCTCTCTCCCCTCTACACACACACACACACACAAACACACAGTTATTTTCTTTTCAGCTGTATATCTATGAGCATGACTTCTGGACCAGGTTGCCTGGGTCTGAACCTCACTTCATCACAAACTGTGCGAGCTTGGGCAAGTTACCTCGCTTTTCCGTGCCTCCGATTCTTCACTGGCAAAGGTGGTGATAATAATCCATAGGCTGCACGGACTAATCCATGTAAAATGCTCAGAACACGGCCTAGCACACAATTCACACTCAGAAGCAATGAGCTATCCTCCTATCTGCTTGTGTCCCAGCTCCTCGTACACTGCAATGTGTCAGTTGCTTTGTAGCGCTATTCAGTGTTAACTAACATATGGTTTGCCTTCTGAAAATCCTGATAAGAAAAAAAGTAATGACCTAAACTTGGACAGGTCCAGATATGTTCCCTTAATCCTGCTGTTGCAACAGCAGAAAGAGCGGAGACAATGCAGACCCTTTCACAAGCGTCCACTTTGAACTGTCTGTGTGCTCCTGATGAGAAAGATACATGAATGATGCATGGTTTTTCCTGCCATCTCTCAATTTGAGAAAAAACAATGGGTGTCTGAGCTGCCGGCCTGAGCAGCAGTGGCACCCCCTTTAGCGAAGGGACACGAGTGTTCCTGGTGCAGAAATCACGGACGGACATTCACGCCATCAGCCGTGACTTTCTCGGCACCGGCTTCGCCCAGTAGGACAGGGGTGAGAGGATGTTCAGCGGGGTCTGCTGTCTGCATCTCCTGCTCTGAATGGACATTTCTCATCAAGCAGCACAGGCCGATGGCTTTCACCATGTCTGCCCAGGAAAGCTCTAACTCTGCACAAGGCCGTTGACCAGAACAACCCTGGAGGAGCTGTGACCCGGGCAGAGCAACTGTCCCACAGAAGGGCAGAGGGTGAACTGAATGACCCCCCGCAGGGCAGCCTGGAACAGCAGAGAGAGCTGCTCAGAGCCAGCCCCTCCGGAAGGAGGAGGGTTTGGTCCTGACGCACTAAAAAACAAACGTGGGCTTGGACAATTTTGTTGGAGCCCGGTGGCAGGAGGCTCTTGGTCATCTGTGCTGGGCTGGGGTTCAAGGACGCCCACTGACGCCCGGGCTTTCTGACAGCTGGTGTGTGGGCACAGATGGTGGGGCGTGTTTAGATCAGTCATTGATCTCATGTAGAAACGGGCGCGACACGGCCTGGGAACAGTGTGCTGGCGGCCGGACGGCTGGAATGGGTCGGCGGGAGGGGCATGGTGACCTCCCCGGGAGCCACTGAGGTCCCCATTCCAGAAAGGGTTCCATTTGCATTAAGATTCCGACTAAGAAAAGCAACATCCGAGAAACGGAGGTCAGGTTTAGACCTCTTAGTATTTTGCACCTTGGCTCTTAGCTCGCCCCAAATCGTCTAGGTTACCATCATTCCCAGGCCATCTTCTCTGTGTCCTGTTCCATCGGACACAGGCCCGGGGGGAAAGGCAGACTAGATGTGCTCATTCATTTGGTCACAATTCAACCTCTTGGACTAGAGAAACATCAGCAAAGAACACGCTACCCACCGACATCCTAGCACTTTCATCTGTTTGGCTGGAAACTGTGGATAGCCTCGGGAACATCTGAACAGAAATCAGACTTACATGTAACAGTAAACTGTTTCCTGGCTACCACAGGGCTGTTGAGATAATCGGAAGCAGGGGTTTGGGTGGCATTTCTGGGCCTGCTTCGTGTTTTACATACTTTTATAATTTGTATCTAAACGTTAATTGATTCAGATTCACAGACCTGTGACCGATGCGTCTTTTATCTTTCAATGGCGATATAAAACCCACAAAGTTGGTTTTTAGTCCTACGTATTGAACTGCCCCTGGGCTTTGGATGGTGTCAATAAATTTAAGCTCCTTTATTTCAGGATTTTTAAGAACTGTCATGGCGATGAGCTACCATTTACTATCTGCAAAAAGGTTTTGTTAGCAAATGAAAACTACAAGCATCATATGGAGAAATTTTAGCATATCTAAGAGAAACTTATCTTTTCAGCATCTCAGAAGCTCCCACCCATATAAAAAATTTAACATGTTGATGGGGTAGTACTGATACCTATTTATTCATGATAGCACAGCTAGGAACTTTTATTTGATATAACAGCCTGGCAGTACTTGCTAACTTTGGTGTGAGGAAATATTCCAAATTTTAAAATAATAAGACTGTGTTTTTATATTTATCATTTAACATTCATATTAATTAGTTCCCCCACTAATGCAATTAATGAGATGGCTCATAGTATATGAAACATCATAAGAAGACCAGAAGCATGCATTTTTATGTTTTAGTTAATTATTATTGACTACACCATTTGTTTTTATAGATGTTGACACATTTTTCAATTTATTTTTTTCCGGTCACCTACTCCTAAGACTTTTACGCTAGCCAGGAAAGTGGGGGAAGGACAAGCCAGGAGGACCCTTCCAGGCAGGACCCCCTCAGCTCTACGAGGATAATGGTCTAGATCAGTGATGGCGAACCTTTTGAGCTCGGCGTGTCAGCATTTTGAAAAACCCTAACTTAACTCTGGTGCCGTGTCACATATAGAAATTTTTTGATATTTGCAACCATAGTAAAACGAAGACATATTTTTGATGTTTATTTTATATATTTAAATGCCATTTAACAAAGAAAAATCAACCAAAAAAATGAGTTCGCATGTCACCTCTGACACTCGTGTCAGAGGTTCGCCATCACTGGTCTAGGTAGACAAACAGGAAGAAGCATCTGAAAAGGATTTTAATTTTTAAAGCTAAATTAAGAAGCGCCCATGAGCTCCAATATCCTGGCTTTGATTAATTAATCAACTAATTAATCAAGTATCAATTTTGACTGATTACTTATGAAGCAAGTGCAATTCCTATTCTTGTCAATGATTTATCATCTGATGACTTGGGCTCAAAAACCTTGGATAGTTTCTACATCTCCCTGTTCCTTATTGCCCACATACAGTGTGTCCATTTCCTTCATTTCTTTATTTTATTGGTTGATTTCCTTCATGACAGCCATACTAGTGTAGGCACCTAGCATCTCACAGTTCTCTAACTCATCACCATGCCAGTCTGACCACTGACACCAGATGGAATCAATCTTCCTGGAAGGCTGCCTGAGTATGCCGCCATCTCGTTCAAGGTCAGGAAAGGGTTCCCCCTGTCTCTGCTATCCTAGAGAAGAGCAATTCCTTAGGGTGCTCAGGCCCTCAGCGACCTGCCCGTACCTGCCTGTCCCCCTGTCTCCCTCATTATTGCAACGTGAGTCCCCTGCTTAGATCCAGGTGGGTCTGAGTCCCTCAAGACCCCAGACCCCAGTAACTTTACTTGCTCTCTATTCTTGCTTCATGACTCCCCCCTCCTGTCTTCTGGTTGGCCCATTTAAGACTTCTTTTTTTGTCGTTGTTAATCCTCACTGAGGATATGTCTCCATTGACTTTAAGAGACAGTGGAAGAGAGGGGGAGAGACAGAGAGAAACATCGGTGTGAGAGAGACATATCGCCTGGTTGCCTCCCACACACCCCGACCAGGGGCTCCAAGGAGTGAACCCACAATCGAGGTACATGCCCTTGACTGGAATCAGACCCTTCAGTCTGAGGGCTGATGCTCTATCCACTGAGCCAAACCATCTAGGGCCAGACTTCATTCATTGACTTACATCAAATACCAACCCTGCCAGGAAACTGTTCCTCCCCCTCCCCCTCCCGGCACCCTCTTCCTCCCCAGAATTACTCTCTCAGCACAAGCTGTGGGTGTGATGAAGTGTCAAAGAATGATACGGAAAATACTCGGTCTGTTACATCTATATCTTGCTTCCCCTACGAGATTCAGAGGCCTGGGCGCATGGACTCCGTCTTCTACTATTACTTGTCAAAGTGGTCAAGTGGTCAGTTAGCATCGATTGAGTAAAGGGCATCAGTATGAAACCCGAACAGTGCACTTTGCATGCATGGCACACGAAGGAGACAGGCAGGAACACAAGCGGCCGGGACAGCGTGCATAGGAGGAAGGCTCGGAGGATCATGAGAGAAGGACCACAGGAGCATCACCGCCAACCACCACGAGTTAGTGCATCACGAGTGCATTTTGTTAAGGTCTGTTAATAACAGTGTAGCTCTAACCACATGGATCTTTTTCCTGAGAAAGAGATCAGAGTGCTGATGAATTTGTCAAATGATTACGAAACCCATCTAGCATTCTGAAGACCCAGGAAATTACCCCATAGAAACCTAGCCATTTGGGCCCACAGAAACGGGCCGCGGTGCAGTGGGGAGCACACGCTCTTTAGAGTGGTTCAGACCCCTGCCCCCCACTTCTTAGTCTGTATCTTGGGGAAGACAGGCGCCCTTGCCGAGCCTCAGGGACCTCACGTGCACCCCGAGGGTGGTGGGGTGGCTCTGCAGTGGCGTGTGCAAGGCCTGCCCCCGGCGGCTTGTGAAGAGGGCGCTGCTTTACTAGTTTTTCCTGTATCGCCTTCGGCATGTCCGCATTCATTTGAAGCACACGCCTGGGTGTGTCTTGCTTTTTGCTAGTTTTATTTGAAACATTGTTTTTGCCCCTTCTCTGCTGCCTGGAGGGAAATTTTCAGTCAAGTGTCCCTATGCAGCTCATCTCCAGCTACTAGCAAGTCCCCACAGTGGACAGAATCGGAGAAGCTGAGCCTCCGTGTTCGCTCAACCACATTCATCCCGGGCTCTGAAGGAAGTCTCTTCCTCCGTAAGGAAATGGAAGCATGACTTCTGCAAACTCGAATCTGGCAACTCTCTCACCTTAGGAAACAGAGGCTGCACAGCGAGGAACTCACCGGAGGTTAATCACGGGTGAGCCCCAGGGAACCCACGCGTGGAGGACTTCCTCCCAGCCCAGCAACACCCGTGGCAGCAGTTCACACGATCTTTGGTTTTTAAGGATTTGCCAAAGGAAGATATTTTGAGATGCTTTTTCTTGAACAGAGTCCCTTACACTGACTAAGCTTTGGGCCCCATAAACTGGGACCTGCCCTGGCTGTTGGTCAAACTTGACCCTCCTTAAACTCCCTACTGCGCATCATTTCTGTGCTGCTCAGTAGGCTTAGCTGATGTGAGTCAGTAGCTGATGTTTAGAAATGTTCTTTGTTATACGAAGATGCTCCTTATAATAATTTTTGGTAACGAAATTTCATTGATCGACATGGAAATAGTTTTCAGGTCACATTACGTAATTGGCGAGTTGGTCGAGTGACGCTAGTTCATTGAGTGGCTTAATGCCTGAGATGGTCTGTGATACCGAGTGTCCTCTCTCATGATGAAACAAGGTCAGAGCATCGCACTGAAATGGAAGGACATTTGAAACATACAACAACCTTTACGCAAGGTGCTTACCTATGTCTAAAATCTTTATTTCTTGGTGGAAGCAGACAAAAGAGGTGAAAAAAGCACAGTTAGAAAAGGTTTCTAAAACATGAGTTGGATACTGAGATTTTAGTTATTTGTATGGAAAATGGCCAACGGAAGCAGAAAGATCACTGGAAATGAATTGTGTGGGTCAAGGCTCATCAAATAACTTACAGAATGGAATGATTTTGATAATCATACTGAAGTGAACAGAGCCGAGACAACCATTTGTTACTTTAGCTATTGGCATCATGGCTAATAACGTAGGAAAATAATTGCAGGAAAATATTTTATGTCTTAATTTCGCCCACTGTGAAATAAGAGAGTAACAATATATAGCTCAAGGTAATTCCAAAGACAACTAAAGAGATTTAGAATTCACAGTTTCATTGTCCGGGAGAATAGAAAATTCACTAAAACCAGTGAGACATTTTATAGATGAGGTGACTTCATACTTATTTATATATTTGCGACGGAATATATACATGTTGTGCTTTACCCCAACGTTAGCCAAGAATCCAGCTTCCATTTCTAGGGAGAACTGCAAACATTGGGAAGGCATGTTTAAATCGATAAATGAGGACACCAGATTGACCTTTTACAAAGGCATGCTTCGCTTTCATTAAAATCCCCAATGAAGGAAAGACATACCTCAGCTCTAGAACGCTGGTCACGTTTCCGGAAGGGAATATCCGGCGGACGTAGTTGAAATCCCCCACGTACAGGCTGCCGTCGATCCCACAGGCCAAGGCCACCGGGGCCAGCAGCTTGTTCCCGTCCGCCTGCCCGTTGCAGCTGGGGCAGGAGATGCTGCGCCGGCGCCCGTTGCCCATGATGCTGCTGACCACCGGGGGCTGCTGGGAGATGAACTGGTTCTCCCCGTTGCCCTTGTACAGGATGCCTAGGAGGAAGGAAACATATCTCACAGCGCACGGCGCGAAGAGGGGAGCCAGCAGGGCCACCATAGCTCCGACCGTCACCCAGGGCCACCGAGGTTGGACCGGAAACACTTTTTTTAAAAAGTAGATTTTTATTGATTTCAGAGAGGAAGGGAGGGAGAGAGGGAGATAGATAGAGAGAGATAGAGAGAGAGAGAGAGAGAAACATCAGTGATGAGAGAGAATCATTGATCGGCTGCCTCCTGCACTCCCCACACTGGGGATGGAGCCCACAACCTGGGCCTGTTTCCTGACCGGGAATTGAACTATGACCTCCTAGTTCTGTGGTTGGCAAACTGAGGCTCGCGAGCCACATGCGGCTCTTTGGCCCCTTGAGTGTGGCTCTTCCTAAGCCTTAGGAGTACCCTAATTAAGTTAATAACAATGTACCTAACTATATAGTTTAAGTTTAAAAAATTTGGCTCTCAAAAGAAATTTCAATCGTGGTACTGTTGATATTTGGCTCTGTTGACTAATGAGTTTGCCGACCACTGTCCTAGTTCATAGGTCGACATTCAACCACTGAGCCACGCCGGCCGGGCTAGAAAAACTTTTATTTCAAGTTCTATTGCAAAGAACTCAATTTGATTCCGTAGGGGAAAATATCATGACAGGATACATAGGATATATATATATATATGTAAAATGCTGTCTGTTAGGAGTTTAAAGAATGTCTGGTGAAAGAAACAAAGGACTAACAAGAAAAAGTAAAAACCCCAATTCTCTGAGACCTGGCTGCACGGGGAGCTGTAAAGACGCCGAAGCTTGGATCTCGCCGGGAGAGTCTGACTTAGTTGGTGTGGGTGCAGCCTTGACACTGAGGTTTTAGAAGATTCTCCAGACGATCCTAATGTGCAGCCGAGCGCCAGGCCCGGCTCTCCATGATGTTCTTCAGGGGATAAGGCGTTTACCTGGCTGTTAAAGGATGCTGGAAATACTAGAAATGGATCCAGCTCGTAACAGCGTGCCCCATATCTCACTTATGAAAAATAACAGCAACAACAAAACACAAGCAGGCCCACAGATACAGAGACCAGTCTGAAAATGACCTAAATCAAGAGGAGTCTGGGGGCGACAAAAGGAGCACCACTCACCGAAGCTTGCAGACGCCAGCCGGGAGGACGGAAGGACGGAAGGACGTGCTCTCCTCCCCCTGCCCCGGAACTAACCCGCTGCCTCTGCTCGCGGCCAATAAAAGCCGCCACAGCTTTCCCCAATTCACTCCTAAAACTAAGAACAGCTGACCTCCCCCTCGCCTCCCGCACTTGCCTAGGGTTTGCCATAGTTGGCTTGTCCCGTATCGCAATTCCTCTGCTATTCCCGAATACACTCATTTTGTTGGCTAAAAAATAAAAAAGTGCACCGTAATATATAATATGAATTGCTTCCTTAGAGTTTATCATTGGTATTGATTTATTTTGGAGAAAGAGAGAGAGAGAGAGAGAGAGAGAGAGAGAGAGAGATATTTGTTGTTCCACTTATTGATGCATTCATTGGTTGATTCTTGCATGTACCCTGACTAGGGAATGAATTTGCAACCTTGGTGTATCAGAATGATGCTCTAACCAATGGAGCTACCCGGCCAGGGCCCATCATTGCTTTTGAAAAAAGTTAAAAATGCTTTTTGGAAAAGAATGTTAGAAAGTATATAGCAAACCGCCAATATTCTACTCTGTCAAAGAATATCCTCCTTGCTTTTACTCTTGTCTGATATAAGAAGGCATGTACCTACAGTCATTCAAAATGTCAAACATAAGAAAACTGCTGCAGGGGTGGGGGGCAATTTATGACTTGCAGTGCGTTCTCCTTTAGGGCACAAAAGTGCCAATAACGTTAAGAAAACAAAATGCCAATCTGCTCCTTTATGATCCTCAATGAAAATCTGAGAAAAATTCCAAATGAATATGAAGTATTTTCCTAGTTAGAAAGGAGCTGAGTTGAGATTCTAATTTTATCCAGTTACCATGATTATACAGAGATCAAGGGTTCCATTTCGGTATGATGCATGGCGGGCTGTCAGCGGTCACTGTTCCATGAAGATCTCATGATCCCCTCAGTGTGTGATCTGTGTACACCACCTGCTTTAACGTTCGAGCTGGACATATTATACTCATTGAATGATCTACACTGCAAAGCAGTTCTCCAAGCCTGCCTATATATATAGGCAGACAAACTGTTAAAGAATCAGTCCCCTGAAAGTACAAAGAGGAAATTTGAAAGAATATTTTTTTCCTCCCACTTTGGGACAATTTTAAAGTGAAGGAGAGATCAAAATAATGACATTCCCCTTAGAGTTCGGCACATTTTAGGTGGATTCCAGGATGGCTTTTTTTTTTGTTTGTTTTTGTTTTTTTGTTTTTTTTTTAATATATTTTATTGATTTTTCACAGAGAGGAAGGGAGAGAGATAGAGAGCCAGAAACATCGATGAGAGAGAAACATCGATCAGCTACCTCCTGCACATCCCCCACTGGGGATGTGCCCGCAACCCAGGCACATGCCCTTGACCGGAATCGAACCTGGGACCCCTCAGTCCGCAGGCCGATGCTCTATCCACCGAGCCAAACCGGTTCCGGCGTCCAGGATGGCTTTTTTAATGCTCCACCATTTGGGTGATGTAACAATCACAGCCAATCTACGTAAGGAAATCAGGAAAGAAAAACCAGGTTTACTCGTAGTCAAGAAAAAGGAATCTACGTAAGACTAGATCATAACAAGTAAAATGCATTCCGCCTTCCATATTTAAAGACTCCATTAGTGATAACGAAGATCCTTCTTGCTGGGATGACGCCATTTGATGCCTGGCTTGCTCAGTCATTCCCGCGAGCGACGGTCTAGCGAGAGTCTCCCCTCCTCAGACAGACCAGGAGGATGAATGCTAGAATGTTCCGTTCCGTGCTGCAGGGAGGCTGCCCAGGCGCCTGTCAGTGTCTGCGTTTCTGCCTTCCCTTCTTCCTTCATCTATTTTCTCCGCTCACCCACCTTGTCATGATTGCAAATCACTTGGTTTATTCTATTAGACACATGTCACTTTGAAAAGCCACCACTTGTCAAACTGTTCTTGGATAGCGTTTCAAATCACATTCACTTCCCTCTACAAGCAGGTTACCTCGCATTTCAAAATCACATATATTCCATCATGTACAGCATTCTTCTTTTGGAGGGCAGAATCCTGAGTCGTCCGCTTTTTACATCCGAGCTGATATTTTAAAAAAACAAACTCCATGTTATTCTGTTAGAGGCATGGGCTTTCTCCGAGCTCTTTGCTGGTGGTCTCCCTGCTGGTTCCCAGTCTCCTGGCTGAAGTGCTGGGCTAACTGGTTATTAACTTTCCGCTATGATATCAAAAATATAAGTCTTTGTTTTACTATGGTTGCAAATATCAAAAAATTTCTATATGTGACACGGCACCAGAGTTAAGTTAGGGTGTGTGAAACAGAATGTAAATAATCTAATCGAGAGCGTACCGGCCTGGCTGGCACGTGGCTCCGAGACCCGAAAGACCACCTCGAGGCCCGAGTAACTGACTGCGCACACTGACGTGCTGGCACCGCGGCGATGAAAAGGGACACAGGCAGCACCACCTCGGCCGGGAGGGGCGCTTCCCCAAAGCGTGTGCCGCGCGGGGCACCAGCTAGCAGCTCTGCTCCCAAACCTCTGAGGTTCGAACTGAACTGCGACTCCCTGCCCAGGACACAGTGGGAAGAGGAGGAGAGCCAGTACTGCTATGCGACGGGGAAGGTGTGAGGCGTTTCTGTTCCGCTTCTTACGGCTGATTTGCTTAGGCCTGTTCTCTTCTGGAGGGAAGGTACCAGCCAGCATAGTCAAGCACTGGCCTGGAAGCTGCTTGAGACTGAGTATGTCTGGAGGTTTATAATGCATCCTCTCCAAACTGAATACATTAAAAAAAAGAAAAAGAATGACTATCAAAGCAACCTTAATCTGAAAGAGTGACCATTAATCACACTCAAATATTTAGTTCTATTGGATGCTAAGTTCATTCTGAACTGCCCCAAACCTCTGCAAAGGCAAACCCGGACTATGTCATCAGGGCTGAAATCTCTAGAGCTACAGCAGGACGCGAGTCTGGAATAAGGTACCTTAAGGTTCTGCTCTTCCAGCAGAGTATTTATAAATGATCTGAGCTGTAGCCAGCATGTGGACAACATGTAAAGACAAGAGAGTTTGCTTAGTGTAAGTCATATGCTTAATGAGATGAAGCTGGTCTAAAAAAAACCTACAGAAATTAAGCTGGTCAAATTTTGCAAGTAATTCATTTCTTTTCATTTGTGATAGCTAAAGTATTTTTTTTAAAGCATATTCACTTGTATTTTACATAAGGTCTCCTACAAGTTTTAGTCTGGATTCTTGCTTTTTTCCCCCCTCAGATTATTCTTTTTATTTTTTCCCTAATATTTGAAAAGTCAAGTACCGCGGTATGTGACCCAATTTGAGTGTAAGAATATTTTTTTCCCTTCAAATACACTCTAAGAAGAACCGAAAAACAATCGAATAGGCTAATTAACTAAGGATTAAGACCTATTAAAAGTATCTTGGAAAAGTACCACGGTTTTTTATTTTTTTCTTTTAGAAAGAAATTTTTTCTTTAGAAGAAGACCTCCCTCTCTCCGCTTTGGGTGAATCTTCAGAGAGCCCTTCAGATAACTCAGTGGCTGGCTGCAGAAGGAGACTCCTGGGCAAATCCCTGGTGAAGAAGCCTGTCAGTGCAGCACGGCTCAGCCTCTTCCCTTCTCACGGGAACACGACTTTGGTGATGAACGCCTGAGCGTTCACACAGTTGTTAGGAGAGTATTACGTAGTTCCCACGCCAGGCTTTATAGACTTTACAAGTACAGCGCACCCTTGAACATGGATTTGAACTGCGCAGGTCCATGATACGTGGATTTCTTGCAATAAATACACACAGTGTGTAAATGTATTTTCCCTCCTTTATGATTTGTTCTTTTTTTAAAAAGAGTAGACCACTTGAAAAATAAATTTAATTGATGTTTTTAGAGAGAGAGGAAGGGAGAGGGAGAGAGAAACATCAATGTGAGAGCAAAACACCTATCGGTTGCCTCCTGCACGCTGCCTATTGGGGATTGAGCCCACGCCTCGGGCTTGTGCCCTGTCTGGCAATGGAACTGGCAACCTTTCAGTGCACGGATGACACCCAACCCACTGAGCCACACTGGTCAGGGCTCTTATGATTTTCTTTTCTCTAGGTGACTGATTGTAAGGATTCAGTATATGATACTAATATAACATGCAACATCTGTGTTAATTGACTATGTTATCAGTAAGGCTTCTGGTCAACAGTAGGCTATCAGTAGCTGAGTTTTGGGGAGTCAAAAGTTATACCCAGACTTTTCACTGAGCAGGGGGTTGGTGCCCCTAGTTCTGTGTTGTTTAAGGGTCAATTGTAGATCCTTATCTTTTCTTACGAATGCTAATCCCATCACACATAGTCAGCTTGAAGGTGAGCGATAGTAACTATGAACAAGACCTTACCGTTCTGAACATCCAACACGTGATGCTTATCTAGCGTCCAGCCGCCCATGTTGGAGGCATCCAGTTCGTAGCCTTGCAAAATGGCAGTTCTCTTCTCCCACAGGGTCAGGTCCAAGCACGACTCGTACTCATATCCCACCGACACTGCAATGGAGACAAACCAAGTCCCTCTGTCAACTACAGCAGAAATACAATGCATTTTGTTATTTTTCACAATTGTGTTCTGAGACTGTATTTCTAGTTATTTATGGGCAGAGTTTAGTTTTTTATATGAGAAGATTTGATCACATAAAATATTTTTTTCCCTAAAAAAAATGACCTCCAAATATTACTTTTGCACTGGTTTTGCTGAAAACTAGTATTTTTATTTTACCACAGTATTCTTTACTAGGGGTTCATAGCACACAATGAAGTTCAGGTTGGGCAACTAGTTAAGTAGTTAGATCAGATAAATCTGCCCCAAATGGTGATCAGTTCATTCCAACTTAAAATCTTACTTGCTATCTGAATTAGTAGAGCTATTTAGTGTCCAAGAGTATTAAGTTATGGAAAACATTTACAATAAGTAAGACTCAATACAGCAAAAAATACGGTCCCCCAGCTCCACAATTATGGATTACAGCCATATTATGACATTATATTCACGTTGTCAGGAATGAACAACAGAATTAACAGTAAATTAATATGAACAAATCACAAAAAACCTCAGAGTTCACAATGCAACATGAATTTTAAAGTTCGGAACAACGCGAAGGGAGTAGTGGCAATTATCTGGCTGCTGGGAATTAATTCAAGTCCACATTACAGATTAACTCCAGAATACCTTGTTTGCTATGAAAAATGAGTAGAAGAAAGCACGTCATCCTTCGTTTTTGATGTTTCCTGAGTCAGAGTTTGAGCTACTCTAAGTATATCTCCACACGTCAAACCTGGATTACACCGTCCAGTCACCCAGTGGAACAACTGGGTTGACTGATGTTTTAAGAATAGCCTCTCCTTGAATTGATCTTCTGGTCAAAAGAGCTAACAATTTTTAGGCACTAATGTTGTCTGATATCCTGTTAATCATCACTATGAATCAAAGCTACACTAGTCGTGAGATACAGAAAGACATGAAAAAATAAGGAAAGTCAGGGAGATAAAATTATAAAGAAGAAAATCAAAAAAGGAAAGGACACAATAAAGAAAAAACATGAAAAAAAAAGATAATCTGATATCTCTTCCAGAACATTCTTCTAAGATATAATTTCAGCCAGAAAAGATGATGACCCTGTCTCCTCCTGGCCACATGGAATACACTCCTTTTTCCTGGTGCATCTAAGCCAACCCGTGGGCAACTTTCCTATGACAGTCCCACTGCCTTCCTATCTGCTCACCCATTGGTTTCCACGGGTTACAATTACTTTTATGTTAATTCTGAATCAAGACAACTTGTTGTTGTTGTTAATCTTCACCTGATGATATTTCCCCCCCATTGATCTTTAGAGAGAAAGAGAGTGGAGGGGAGGAGGGGAGAGAGAGAAAAAGAGAAACATCGAGGTGAGACAGACACATTGACAGGTTGCCTCCCACACGCCCCTGACCAGGATCAGGGATTGAACCTGCAACTGAGGTACATGCCCTTGACTGGGAATCTAACCCACAACGTCTTGGTCTGTGGGCCAACGCTCTGACCACTGAGCAAAACCAGCCAGGGCAAGACAATTTGTTTGATGCAGAATACATTCACACGGAACTCACCGACAGCTTCAGACAGACCGTAGACCTTCTGATTATACGCGTCTGTTTTATCCCATATGAAGGTGTAGGCCAAGTTGGGTGAGGCGGGAAACCACTTCTGAAAGAGTCTTCCTACGACAGCCACCATGAGGTGGACCTTCATCAGGTTGAAGGGTATCACGGCCTGGGTCATGGTGACCTTGAGGACAGACTTGTACCCGGCAGCTCTGGAGCTCAGGTAGGACAGCCTCAGGTCTGTCCCCGGGATTGTGGTTTCTTCATGGAGCACCTGGTGTGGATAAAGCACAAGCCCACACGGGGATCACCCATAGCCACGAGATAAAATACACGGGAAGGAACCGAGTAGAGCAACTGAGACACCAAGGAGTCACTGTTCTCAATGCCCAGGTGAGCTGCGATCCTGCTGGACAATCAGGGATGCATCTCCTGCCAGCCCCGTCTCGCTCCTCCTCCAAGCCTCTGGTCATTCATTCTGAGTCACTCAGACCTCAGGGGCTCCTCCTACAGGAGACACTGTGACTGCGCCACCGGGTGACATGCACGGACTTGGTTTACAGTCACCTGGAATCTCGTTTGTAATTTAACCCGTTGCCCGGGAGAATCGGAGCAACATGTGTAAGATGGTTGGCTCAGAACACGGATGTGTTCTAGGCCAGAGAGCTGGTCTCCCCCAGCTGCACAACTAGGGATTAAACCTCTGCTCTGGCCTCATCACCTGATTGGTCGCAGCCTACAAAGGCAGGAATGATGACAAAAAAGGCCAATTCATGTGGGTTCAATTGTCGCACATTCCATATCCACGTGGAAAGGTAATATAATAACAGCACATCCTCATAATTAGCTCAACACTGAGCTAGGACTCACCACTGATTTTTTTATATGACAGTGAATGAATTAGTAGTTTAAAGCTGTGAAAAACTTCCCCTGTGAACAACTAATGTGTTATTGAATGCACACAAAGACACTGAATATATACCTTCTGAATCGAAACAGGATTGCAAAAAGTTAATATAATTATCCACGTAAGAATTATCTACTGTACACCTTAAAAAAATTCTTAACTCTACAATTTACCCATTGATGTGACTAGTTCAATGAATGCCAACAAATTGATACTGATGCATACAAAACATTACTTATTTTGAAAAATGTATTTATGTAGCATATACAAGTCTTCCTAAATGATTCAGACTCTCCTTGCTAACACGCCTATTCATTTGGTTAATAATGGCAGCCCCACAATGGCTTACTACATATAGTATATGTAGTATATGTCATATACTGTAAAGGGCAAGGCTCTCCATGTTCCAGAACCTGGGCAGGAAACACCACTTTCTCAATTTAGAATTACGTAGTGTTTTCTTTTTTTGTGTTTTGTGAATCCTCACTGGAAGATATTTTTCCATTGATTTTTTTTTTAGAGAGTGGGAGGGAGGAGGAGAGACAGAGAGAGAGAAACATTGATGTGAGAGAGACACATGGATTGGTTGCCTCCCCCACACACCCCAACCAGGGCCGGGATCGAGCCTGCAACTGAGGTCTGTCCTTGACTGGATCGAACCCAGGACCCTTCAGTCTGCAAGCCTATGTTCTATCCTCTGAGCCAAGCTGGTTGGGGCTATATAGTGTTTCCAGACGCTTCCTCACATTGCCCTCCCAAGATTCATCACGCAGACCGAAAGGATCACCTTTTATGTTACAAAATCATGGAAGAGAGATTCAATGTTCAGGAGTGTTTCTCTCCCCCAACTCCTCTCACACAGGACACAGGAATGACGTGCATCTGTCATCTCCAGATTTTAATAACTTAAGGAGAAGCCTGGACACTGAGGGGGTCGCTGTCAGTGTCAATGGAAACAATCCAATGCCTGGAAGTGGCACAAAAGAATGAACTCGAGGAACTTCCCTTCTGGTGTGTGATTGGTGTTGGTATGAATCTACAATGGGGCCATGCCGATGCCCTGCAGTAGAGTAAGCAGGCATTGCCACACTTGGACTTTAGTATAGTCGGGGCTCTTTACCAAACACGCTGACTGAGCTCAGACACACACTGTCTTAAGCAAAATAGTTCTGGAGCACACAGGAACTTCCTAGAGCTCATTACACTCAGGGAGACCACCGCATTAAAGATCGACTGTGGGGTATGAGGTGAATAAATGGAACAAAATGCACGGTTCTCCCATCACGGGGTGAAATATCAATGGGTTAGTTTGAAAACAGATTCTGTGACTCCCGAACGGCCCTGAAAATCTAAGTGATTGAAACCTAAAGCATACACTCTATTTCCTCTGAATTTATTTTCAAAATAACTTCTCATACATTTGATTGGTTTTCTATGTGGAAGGCAATCTTTCATTAATGTATTTCCTGTGACCTAGAAATTGCTTTTTCTCTTTCAAAGTAGCATGTGTTATCCTAATTTTGATAACGGATTATTGACTTGACCATCATTAACCTACTTTCATGGAACACATACCTGTGATTTAGCTCATTAAGACATGTGTTTCTCCTCTGTAATTTAACTGGACCGCGTTATTCTGCTTTAGTGGGGAAGTCAGTCCAGCCAGAGGGGAAACAGAAACTGTTTAGCCTACTTTTGGCAGCTGGTGATCTGTGAGCCCTGCTCTGGACCCCACCGCACATTCGGTTAGAAGCTACGTGCTGCCAATGTTACCGTCCAAATCTCTGTCTAACCCACCCCTCCTCTCCCTTTCCATCACCATGATCACTGGGCCCTCTCCACCTGTGTGCAGCATATGCATGGAGCTACGGGGACGCTAGCCTGTTCACTGATCCCTGTCGCTTAGTTAGCTTTAGAGAAATGCTGAAAAGACTTCATGGGTCCTCTGGTTCCCTATTTTTTTTAAAATCTTCACCCAAGGATATTTTTTCCATTGATTTCTAGAGAGACTGGAAGGGAGGGTGGAAGGGAAGAGAGAGAGGGAGAAACATTGACGTGAGACAGACACATCCACTGATTGTCTCCTGCATGTGCCCCGACCGGGGCTGTGGAACCTGCAACTGAGGTACATGCCCTGGACTGGGAATCAGACCTGAAGCCCTTTGATCAGCGGACCGATGTTCCAACCACTGAGCCCCTGGTTCCCTATTGCCTAAAGAATTCAAGGTCTCCATCGTACGGCAATTCAGGGCCATTCACAAACTTCCCCCACTCTTTCCCCTTATATGCTCTACACTTAAATTGTTCATCAGTTTTTATACTACATTGTTTTTACCACCACACTGCTGCTCATCCATTTTCTTCAAACTTCCTCAGTGACTTTCATTGGCTTCCTTGGGAGTTGACCGCTCTTTTGACCTCCCACAATTCTTCATTCACATCTTGATCCTATTTAGCATAGCAGGATGCGTGTCTTAGTCTTCTTCTATCCTAGCGGAGTGCCTTGTACATTATGGGCTCGCAGTAAATTTTGCTAAATGTTGGATGTCTGTATGATGGAACGGGGAGAAAAAACCCCACCCTCCATGCATTCCTGGAACTGTTGGCTATTTGAAACCTATTTCAATGACCTGGTTTGCTAGACCTCTGCCACCAATGGGCAGACAGCGCCTCGAGGTTGAGCCTATTTTAGGACTGGCTAAGGAGGTCAGTTACTGCCAAGTGGACCCTGGGGAGCAAGGACTAAATTGAATAGGTTGCAATGAATTCCTTAAAGCTTCAGCTCCAAGCCTGCTGGACTGCTCTGCGGTAAATGAACGAGGTGTCTCTTCTGCAGCGTATCTGCCTGTGAGCAATCTCATAATTTGTTATCCTCACCTCCTCGCATCTGCACCTACACTCCCTCATCCCCTGCTATAAGTGTATCTATAACGCTGATGATTCCCATATACATCTTTACTTCCATCCTTCTCCCTGGACTCCACTCTTACACGGTCACTTCTTACCACCTCAACCCCCAAACGCCTCTGTCTAGGCCACACCATTTCTCCTGTGGACTGATCTTGCCTCCTGAGGACGGGGCTCCTTGTTTCAGCCTCCAGTGGCCTCTCACTCAAAGTGAGAGTTCTTACCGGTGCCGTGACCTTCAATGCCTTAGGACTGATGTACCAGGACCTTCACTCCAGCCACACCTGCTGCCTCTTTGCTCTTCCTTGAACAAGCCAAGCAAGCTCTCTGCTCTGCCTGGAATGCTTCTCTTTTTAAGGTTTATTCTTTCACTTAAAGTGTCTGCTGGAGTACCATGTTATCAAAGGGATCTTCCCAACTACACTTTATGAAATTGCTCTCCAACCATGTTACCCTGCTTCGTTCTTTAACAATTAGTCTTATTCACAACTTGCCACGTCTTTATACATTTGATGTTTCTCTCTCCCTATTAGCTGGTAAGCCATAGAGAGCAGGTGCTTCCTCCGGCTGGTTTCTGACCTGTTCCGTTCGGACAGTGCTGGTGCAGAACAGGTGTTCCGTGAATACTTGCAGAACAGACGTGACGAAGCTGCGGTGTGCTGCTGTATTTTAAAGACCATGTACTTTTACTTAGCTTTTTATGAATAAAGTCCATTATTATGGTACCAAATGTCCTGCCTTTAATATCTGAAAGTACTATTTCTTTTTTAAAAAAAATCTAAAATACATTTTTATTGATTTCAGAGAGGAAGGGAGAGAAAGGGAGAGACAGAAACATCAATGATGAAGGAGAATCATTGATCGGCTGCCTCCTGCACACCCCCTATTGGGGATCGAGCCCACAACCCAGGCATGTGTCCTTGACAGGGAATCGAGCCGTGCACTCCTGATTTATAGGTCGACACTCAACCACTGAGCTACGCCGGCCGGGCTGAAAGTATTTCTAATTGGTAACATATAGGAAAGAAAACAATGCCCAGATAGCTCAGTAGGTAAAATGAGTAGTGAAAATATGGCTGTTTCAAAGAAAATTATAAGGTTTTTTTAACCTGTGAGAATAGGACTTTATGAACTACGTAGTATAGAGCCTAAGACAGGATATCAAGTTTTAAAAATATTATCTTGAGAAAATTAATGAACATTTTCTGTCAAAAAATAATTTTTTGAAAACTTTTTTTTTTACTTACACTAATAATCAAATGGTGAGTTACTGAGAAATGACCTTGGACAAGGCAGCCAGGAGGTCAAGTACCTGTAGGCACTAAAACCTTTTCCCAATGAATGCATGAATTCACGAGCAAGGACGTCATTGCTATTGCATTGAGGTTGTTTTTCCATCTGGCTACAACTAATACATTTATACAGATGCAGCCTGAAGGAAAAGTCCTTTGAGTAGACCTTTAAGAAATAACAGAGATCCTACTATAGCAATACCTATTTAGTGCGTGCAAACACCCCCCCACCCCGCCACATTCTATAGTTCACTCTATAGAATGACGAAGGGCAGCACTAGGATGATGCAGCCCGGTTTAAACAGCCTTTGGAAACCTCACGACCTGAAGCGGTTTACTGAGAAGTCCTGCTAGCACGCCTACCTGCGTTTCAGGGATGATGGGACTGTCCTCAGGAGAAGACCTGAAGAAGGTGGATAAAGGCGATGACACGATGATAGGATTTGGCCTCACAAACCCACTCAGATCACAGCTGGGGATGTCATTCTCCTCTTTCTTCATGACCAGGGTGTCCATCACATAGAAGACGTTCCAGGGGATCCACACGGTGTGGTACTGAGTGAGGAACGGGGATCGCTCAAACACCAGAGTGAGAGAGGCGCCACCATTTGCCACCAAGTCAAACCTAAAGAACACAAGACACACTTAGTGAACCATCTGGGTCCCATGGAACGACTCCCAGTTCATTTACTTTAACCTCCTCCAATTAACATGCTTTACAAAGAAAGTCAACTTTTCCTCCCAATTTTCACATGAAATAGTTTCAAATCGACAGGAATATGAAAAGAATGACCCAACAAACACTCATATTCCCTTTACTTAGATTTACCAATTTATTTACATTTTCTCACATTGACTTTATCATCTCCCTATCGTCTCCTTTCTCAGAACCACCTGAGCTTAAGTTGTACATATTATGCAGTGTCACTCCTAAATATCTCAACTAGAATCCCCCAAGACAAAGAGCTTTCTCAGACAAAACCACAACACTGCCATCATGCCTTAGAAAAGGAAATCAGCTCTTAAAAAGCGACATGAATAGATGACTCTAAGTTTCTGCCACATGTACCGTCACTGATTTCTGGAGCCTAAACGTTGTTGTACTTCTATATCACGAGGGACAATAAAACAGGCTGGGTGATAGAAGAATGTCTAGTTCTTTTTGTTGTTTTTTTAGATTTAAATATATATATATATGTGTGTGTGTGTGTGTATATATATATATATATATATATATATATATATATTTTGATTGATTTCAGAGAGTAAGGAAGAGGGAGAGAGAGAGATAGAAACATCAATGATGACAAAGAATCATTGATCGGTTGCCTCCTGCACACCCCCCACTGGGGATTGAGTCTGCAATCTAGGCATGTGCCCTTAACTGGAATCGAACTCGGGACCCTCCAGTCCGCAGGCTGACGCTCTATCCACTGAGCCAAACCAGCCAGGGCAAGCTTGTCTAGTTCTGCTTCTTAAAATACTTCAGAGACCGTGCCCTAGGACGAACTCACATGCCATCCTGCCGGGTGATGGTGTAGCCGTACTCTGGGTAATGGAAAAACGAGACGTTGACCCCAATGAGTGGCGTCCCGTCCGCAGTTAGCACTTGGCCTCTGATGACGGACGCGAGGCTGTGGGAAACGCAGAAGATCCAGAGTGAACAAGTGTCTTCCCAGCCCCACACACGCCTGAGTTAGAGATGATCCCACCTCAGGGTAACATCACACGCAATCCTATTCACAAAAGCCAGACCCCAGGTGCTCCCACGACTGTGTCCCCTTTAATTCCGTGTAACCCACCTTCTCTACATGCCGTGTGTCTGGCCCTGGGTTTTTAATTCCTTGCAATCTGGTTTTGGAGACTTATCCATACCAGTAATTTACAGATGAATTTTAAAATGATAAACTGCCTCCTTTTTTTTTCATAAGTCGTATGTCTGGTGCTTACATGAAGAAAAGCATACTTTCCAATTAATTCCGAGGCAATCTGTAAATCTTCAGGGAGCGATAGCACAAGATTTAAGGGGCAACCAGGAACATTTGTGCAACAACTTTTAATCAGCCGCTGGGTCTGGCCGCATTAATGCGGCGACATCGCTGCCGACCCAGGAGTCCGGAGTGAATCATCCCTGGGCGCAGCGGGATGGGGACACCTGCCTCGCCTTCCCGGGTTAGGCCGGGCATCGCTGCTCCACAGAGCACAGCCGTGGCTCACAGGCCTCCTGCCCGGCCTCTGAGCCGTCCCCTCCTTCACCATTTATACCACCTAGTGAGCTCAGCTAACAATAAGAGCGCACTTCTCTCTGCCTTTTGGGGTCTTTCTGTGGCCTCTTTCGAAACATTTCCAACTGTGCCAACGAGCTAAATGAAGATGTACTGACTCCCTACTGGGGTGTCCCGTTATGGGTTATGGTGCAGGCCCTGAAGTTGACAAAGTACAGGAATCGTGTCAAAGACGCTCGCAATGCAAAGTTTGGGGAAGACTTTGCCAAAAGAGGAAAAACTGCCGTAGAAAAAAAAGCACTTTGCCCACATGCACAGCCAGCAGCAGCCGTGTAACCTCACTCGGAATCTGCATGGGGAGCAGGTGCCTCACCTCTTGTTGAAAGGACTCTCTCCGGGGATCACGTGGGTGCTCTCGGCCCCGGTGAGGAAGCCGATGCGCTCGTAGAAGGACTTGGCCGCCTGCTGGGACGGGGACTGCGGGCTCTGGCCGATGACGTCCTGCGGGTCGGGCCGCCCGCGGCAGTACGGCTGGTTTTGGCAGGAGCTCTGTAAGCAGCAGTCGGGGTCCATGCAGTCGGTGAGGCCGTCTGTGGAGAGAGAGGTAAACCGGTGAGAGAACCCCTTCCCACGCGAGGTGTGGAGCGCACTTGGTTTGTTGGTTCGTTTCCCCCATCCAACCATTTGTCCCTCCCACCCCACCCGAGAGTAATTCCCGTGAGGTCTACGTGTCGGAACCGATGAAATACAAACAGGATCCTCGCAGCTGCTTTCGTGGAGAGTAAATGTTTAGATTGGAGACGGCTGAAAAGAATATGTTGATTCTGAGCAAGAAGTACAAAAGGACTAATTAGAACAGCCCACGAGCAGGATGAAGTAATATGGATTAGCTCTATGTGCAGTCGCTCCAGCCCCCTATAATTTAGGGGAAAAATGCCCGAGGAGGTAACATACACAGTGTGTGCGGCGAGTGGACGGGGCCTGCACAGGGCGATGTTCTAATTTGGGAAAAGCTCAGGAAATGCCGTCTGTGAGACGAAGCCAACACAAACCGACACAAACAAGATGAGACGAGTCCACCACCTTCTGAGGATGCTGCTCTCCCAAGGAAGATAAAAGCATGTTCCAAATCAAATGAAGGCGTTTCTCAAACTTTAAACAGGAGCCTGAGCCCCGGGTATGCCTCCGTATAATGGAGATGATAATTTAAAATGTGGCAAATGCTATATATTGGAAATGATGAGACATTATCACAAAAAACTGACCAATAGTGATGGTGACGTAAAACAGTCATGGACAGACTTTGCCGGTGCCTCTACAGGAGCCCAAAAGGAAGCCACACTCAATGTCCATTTAAGCATTTTGTTGGAAACATATCAACCAACCGATTAGTGGCTAAGGGTGGTGCACGCCCCACACTGGGGATTGAGCTCGCAACCTGGGCACATGCCTGGACCGGACTGCGACCTCTGGCTCATAGCTTGATGCTCAACCATTGAGCCATGCCGGGCTAAGTTCATTATTCACTGACCAGTTGATACATAAATTTTCACCTGCCTGCCAATTGCATTTCTCAATATAGATTCATCAAAAGCATTGGTTTTTGAAGACTTTAATCACTCTTGGGAGAACGGATAAAATAGTTTTAAAATCTTCAAACACACGTATCAGGTCTTGGTGTGACTCTATTATGGCCAATCAGTTGAAAGTATCTAGTTGACCTATATATTTTATTTACACAAGTGTTTTTTTTAAAAAAAGTCTTTTATTAAAAAAAACAATACACTAGCCATTTTCTTTCTTTCTTTCTTTCTTTCTTTCTTTCTTTCTTTCTCTCTTTCTTTTGCTTTAGGCTACTCTTATTAATCCTATGCAATAAAAGCCTAATATGCTAAGTATCCGACCATTCGTTCGAGCATTCGAGCGTTCACTATGATGTGCACTGACCACCAAGGGGCAGACGCTCGACCAGTAGGTCTGGGTCTGAACAATTGGGACTGGGAGAGACGGGCTGGACACGCCCTGGAGCCCTCCTGTGGTCCCTCCCTGGCCCCAATCGTGTACCAGTGGGGTCCCTTGGCCTGGCCTGTGTCCTCTTGCAATCCAGGATCCCTCAGGGGATGTCAGAGAGCTGGTTTTGGCCCGATCCCTGCAGGCCAGGCCAAGGGACCCCACCGGTGCACAAATCCGTGCACCAGGCCTCTAGTAGAATATAAGCTTGCCCCTTCATTATTTGACAGCAAATGGAGACAAAAGAAAACAGACTACATTGAATTGTACTGCGCAGTCTACAAGTAGGTGAATAGAAACACAGGGCAGGTAAGAATCTGAGATCAGGGTGTCCTGGCTCAGTATGTTTTGCCCGCCTGAGGAAGAATGTAGTGAGCCCTTGTGAGTTCCCCTGACACCCATTTCCCCGTCTTTGGGCAACAGCTCTAAACTCTCATTGGGGACCCATGCCTCCCCGACTCAGTCCAGGCGCATATCCCTTCATGTCTGCATCAGACCTAACTGTCTAACCAGAGTGAAGGTCAGGAGCGACCTGCAAAGAGATCCCTTGTGCCCCAGCTTGGAGCTGCAAGCTGTGAAGCTGCTGCTACCTGGGAACCCAGCCATCCCAGAGGACGCAGAGCCAGGCACTGGAGGGGACAAACTTCAGGTCCTGGGGACATCTTTGGGGTGTGTGCAGTGAGCTGCACCTGACCTGGCCTCCTGGGCTCTTCAGTTCTAGAAGCAAAGGCATCCCCTTCTCCCTCTGCCTTCCTGAGTTGGGTTTTTTGTTACTTGAAACCGCAAGGACTTAGTTCATCAGGAGACAGTAACTACAACTCTCTCACGACTGTCCTTGTAGTTCAAAGGAAAAGCTTCATGGGCGAGTACTTGAGTTACGCTGATGGTGTTGGACTATCTTTACATTAATATTTTAATTTTTGTATGTCCACAATTTCTATACACATGAAAACATGGTCAGAATTGCCAACAGGCAGATCTTATGACGTATTGTTTCCTTGTGATAGATTTTCATGTAGATGTCTAACATGAAATAATAACGCTGCATATTATTCCTTTGGAAAAAAATGTAAAATCATGTTTTAACAAAATCAAATGCAACTGAACTTTGAAATTTAATATAAATTCACCAAAATATCACTAAGCCAAAAGGCCACGAAAATGAGAAATGTCTAAATATTTCTAGTGGAAGAAAGATGAAACTATGCCACAGGCTTATTTTTCATGAAGATATATTCTAATAGTGCAATACAGCACATTTTCCCTCCATCTCTTTCAAAGAGATAGAAGCACAGTATTGCGATTCAGATTTTAAAGTAGTCAACTGTTCAACCATTGCCCCAATATTATTACTGACTTCAAAAAAAAAACACAATTAAAAATAAAATTCCATGGATTTAGAATGCATTTGGCATGGGAGTTATTTAACATAAACATTTCTTAATATTGCTGCAGGTTTCCCCTTACATTAAATCTTTAACATGAGTAGAAACTACTCAATAAAGTACTTCCAAGTACTGTATTACATTGTATGCCCATTATTCTGATAAATTAAGGCTTAAATGTTCCCCACTCTCTTTTTCCCCACCACACTCCCACCGTGGCTTCCTGCAGACACTGTATGGCTCAGTGACCAAGGAGGAGTGCTCGAATTCAGCCATTCATCTTTGTTAGTTTATAAAAAGCAAATGTACATCTGGCATGCAGTCCGCAGGTCATAAAGCTGCATGAGATCGACACCTTCGGAACGAATCAGCTGGGAATGCATTTTTACAAGCCTCTCTGCGAACATCAATGAGAGAAGGAATCTCCTTTTCAACAGCCAAGATGCAGGGACACACTGTTTGTTATTTTGCCTGGGGAGTTTATCAGTAACTTTCCCAAGCAAACGAAGGAGGGTTATGAATCTGGCTCCCCATAAATGGAGAAAACATTTTTCATTCTTTGTCTGTACTGATATGGCTGGGGCTATCTGGTACCACTAAGTTGATTACCCACTTGCCCACATGTATACTGTGGCAAAATTGTCTTGGTGGAATAGCTTCTTAAAATCATCGAGATTCCATTTGAATCTCAAGACTATTAGGTTGGCTTAAATTTATATTGGTGTAGAGGTCATATCTAGTAGAATGAATCATAAAAAATCTTAGAAAATCAAGAATGTTCAGACGCCCTGAATAACAACATCAATAGCAATTAAGAGCCTTTCTCTTTTCAGTGTAAGCTTTGCAATATAAGTGGTACTTTGAGGTAAAGTAGATAATACAGTTTATGCTTTCACTCAACCTTTTTAGAAAAATACATTTTTAGTGATTTCAGAGAGGAAGGGAGAGGGAGAAAGAGATAGAAACATCAATGAGGAGAGAGAATCGTTGATGAGCTGCCTTCTGCACATCCCCCACTGGGGATGGAGCCCGCAACCCAGGCATGTGCCCTGACTGAGAATCGAACTGTGACCTCCTGGTTCATAGGTTGATGCTCAACCACTGAGACATGCTGGCTGGGCTCAGTCTTTAATATTGTTGCTCTAGTTTTCATTTTTAAACATTTTCTTGTTGTTCCTTAGGCTTCCATTGGACTTTTAAACAGTGGTTGGAAAACTTATTTTGCAAAGGGCCAGACAATACACAGTTTAGTCTCTGTGGGCCACTGAGTCTCTGTTGCAACTCTTGAGCTGCCTTTATAGCAAGCACTAAAGCAGCCCAGTCGTAGAAGGCATGTAAATGAATGGGTGTGACTATGTCCCAATAAAGCTTTATTTACAAAACCAGGTTTTAGCTTAGGGGTCATAGTTTGCTAACCTCTGGTCTTGCTTTAAAGTTTCTACCCTGCTCTATTCTATTTCCTTGTTTTTCTTTCCAAATCATTCTTGATTTTTTTTTAACAAGGCACACTTTGCCAGATTACTAAAACTCCTGACTCCTAGTCTTCCCTAGGTCACCCTCTACGCTGGCTTTAATCTGCTTGTCCAGACTCTCAGTCTTCTTTCAAGCGGCTTTGGATATTTTCATTGGTTTTTCAAAACCTCGACTTACTGACTGAATAAAAAGTCATAAATCTCCTTTTAGTGAATCTTCATCTTTTACTCAAAAGATAATGCCCAGCCCCCACCCCACAATTTTTGGAAAACCCTCTATCCCAGGGGTCCTCAAACTTTTTAAACAGGGGGCCAGTTCACTGTCCCTCAGACCGTTGGAGGGCCGGACTATAGTTTAAAAAAAAACTATGAACAAATTCCTATGCACACTGCACATATCTTATTTTGAAGTAAAAAAAACAAAACGGGAACAAATACAATATTTGTATTTGCATGTGGCCCTCGGGCCGTAGTTTGAGGACCCCTGCTCTATCCAGTCCAAGCCAGGGAGTAGTAGAAATTCCGGTGCAGTATTTTATCTGTGGACTTGGGAACTTTTAGTGGACAGGTAGGCATACCTTTCATTACTCTGTTAAGTCACTATCTGTAACATGCTTGAAATTCACTTCTTTACTACTGAATTGGCATCATGTTCAGTTTTCAGTATCTTCTTGGTTTGTCTCTAGTGGCTTTCTTGATGATTTTAGTCTCTGTGTTCCATGC